CAAGTTCAGTGAATAAAAAACAGAACTTGAAGCATATGAGCTCAGAGGCCTTCCAGAGCCCTCGTTCGGGCAGTTTTTATGTTTATTTCGGTCAATTCAGTTGTTAAGGAGAAATAAGATTCAATTATGCCACCGTCCAAGTGTTTATATATTGTGATCCCAAACAAATAAGAAAGCTAAGCAAAACCTCATCAAAGGGCTGAAAAGTACAAAAGCATAGGGATAGAACTTTGGGTTGACGATCTCGAAGACCCCGAGAAAATAGCTAAGCAGAACCCCGAGTGCAGCTCGGAGGCCTAGGTCCCAGCTAGGCAGAACTTCGAGCTCACAACTCGGGGGCCTACTTTCCAGCTAGATAAAACTCTGAGCTTGGAGCTCGGAGGCCTACGTATGAGCTAGACAAAACTCTGAGCTCGGGGGCCAATGTCACAGGTAGGCCAAACATCGAGCTTGTAACTTGGACGCCTATGTCTAAGCAAGACAAGACCCCAAGTGGATAGTTCGGGGTCCTGAATAAAAGTTTCAGAGCTTTTAAAGGCTAGACCGGAGACTTTAGTGAACAAATAAAGGCATAACTCTGAGTGGTGAGCCCGAAGGCCTAGGGTAAAAAAGAATAAAAATGTCGAGCAGGTCGCTCGAAGTATCAAGAAGGGCAAAATATCAAAGCAATAACCAATGAAGAAACTCATTCGAGTTCTTGAAACAAGCTAGGAGCTCTTGACGATAGTGCTCCAAAAAGCTCTTAGAGTCTTGGCCTCCCCATCTACCTTGGTAGTGGCGGCCTTCAGACCTGCTCGTTCAATGTCAAAGGCCTACTCGCGAGCAGCGAGCTCAGTCTTTAGCCACTCATTTTCATCAGCATGGCCCTGATTGGACAGCTCATTGTCTAGAAGTCGAGCAAGCCTAGACGAAGCCTGTAAGAAACACGAAAAAGTGAGGTAAGGGCGGAGATAAGTACAATAAAATGAGTAAAAGATAGTAGAGAACAATTATGAACTACAAGACAAGGTTTATACCTGGATAGTGAGCGAGTGCACATATGTAGCCTGAAAAGCTCGATCGTCACACCAACGATCTGTTTCTCCTTCGGGAAAAATGGGCATTAGATACACAGATTGTGTGCTCGCGTCATTGGAGACCGCAAATTTTTCAGGCATCTCCTCGATTGCAGCTGCAGGGACCTCGACCGAGGTAGGATTTGGAGGCGTGGCGGCGGTCTTCCTCTTTTTAGAACCTGAATTTTTACTGGAAGGCTCACCTTGACCAGCTCTGCCAAATTTACGCATCGACGGTGGCGTTAGAGCAGTGGTTGATTAAAGTGGAGGCAGACCGCGAGAAACGTCGATCGGGGCAGTGGAGAGGTCTTATGCATCTTAGTGGCAGCCACGAGAGTTGTGAGGACTTGTTCCAAGGAGCCAATCTCGGCCGTGCTTTCTTCAGTATGGCATCTGTAGACAAGTCATGAAGGGAACAACCATGATTGTTAGAAAAGTAATAGATAGAAAAGAAGAAAGAGGAAAAAAATTATTAATTAAGGAATACCTAAGTCAGGATTGCGGGAGTAGGATAGTGAGGATAGACCACTGACTAACCTCAAGTCACGGTCGTAAGTAAGGAGGACAAGGTCGTAGAGGGTTCTGTTCAAATCTGCCCTAAGATATATTTGTAAGCCTGGTTTGGCTTG